TATATATATATATATATATATATATATATATATATATATATATATATATATATATATATATATATATATATATATATATATATATACATATATTGGAAAACATGGAACTAGAAGGACATCAACCTTCCCAACAGACTTTGGAACCATGAGTGATACTTGCTGGTTCATCTATGCAGTACACTAGATTGAGAAAGCTGAAGATATTAGACAGGGCACTAAAAAGAGGAAGTAAAAATGAATGAGTTCATTGAATGCATAAGAATCATTTACTAGTCATACTATCTGATCACAAATATTGGTACCTGTTCAAGGCAAAAGGACCACCTCAGGTCTGCCTCCGTTTCTTCCTCTTACAATTCACATTCTGCACTGTCGTTACCAGTCTGCAGTTTTCTATCACCATCGGAACTTATTTCTGCGGTGTGTAGCTCATCAAAAAATGGGCAGCCCTCCTCATATCAGACGGAGTGTGAACAGTAGTCATGGACATTTTGATAGTCCTATGAAAATTGTAGCCAACTTCAATACTCATGATGAGTGCTCTGTCATGTCAATAGTAAGCAAACAAATGATAATAATATTACCAACTGCAAACTTATCTTCTCTAGCATTTCTGTGGGCACAGAATTCAATCACACATGTCTAGACGTACTACAATCCATATTGGAATCTACTTGATGCTCTCAACAAAATAATAAACCAAATACTTCATGTCTAGACTCGAGCATTACTGTATGCTAGTGCTGCAAAACTGCACAAGTATTCAAGCATTATTGATAATATATCTAAATTTGCACAAGTACACAGACCAGCCGCTTCACATGTATAATTTTAGCGACACCCACCCCACACTATACATCAGTGGAAGCCTCATGCATTGAGCCACAATTTTTTTCCTTTATTTCGCCTCCCTTTTTTTCCCCAAATTTTCATCTTATAGTAGGTGTAGATGTTACCGAATTACAATTAACTACATACTCCACTGTTGACATGTGACATGTGAATCATGCAGACAAACAATGCAAACCTTTCGGCTCAGAAATTCTGCACACTGTTTGCAATCTGTTCAGTAACTCTGCAGCACATCAATGTTGTAATCAATACTGTTTGTAATCTGTTCCAATTAAGACATGTTCCTAAAAGACAAAAGTAATAAAAAGAATAAAAAAGTTGCATTGTGAATATTACTTCGAGTATCTGCTACTACAAGTAAACAAATATCATGTTTGATTGATATAAGCCAGAGAAACGTCGGACAAGTTGCTCATATTTCCCAGGAAGGGTTGTGGCAAGACAAACTGTTGATGACACCCCAGACAATGAGTCTTCTGTTTGCAGATAATAAGAGAAGCTTAACAACAACACCACCATTAACACAATAGAACCTCAACAACTACAGTGTTTCATGTTAGATTTTTTTTTTCTTTAATGTTTCTCAAATTCAAACATCCAATAATGCTCAAGCCATTGAAGGATTGTGACAAACCATCCAGGAAGGCACTATACATTCTTACAAATATATCCCTCCAGAAAAGTAAGCAGTAGAATAGTGTGTATCTACTGTGGATGGATGCATGGAAGGGTTAAAAAATCTTGTCATCCTCAGACACAGTATCGGTATGGGGAACCGACCTGCTGTAAAGATGACATGTAGCACCAAAGAATTAAAATTGATTTATCTACAAGAGATCCACAAAAGGTATGACAAATGTTACAAGTTGGAACAGCATGCAGTATCAAGAATTACCTTAAAGTTGATAAAATTGAACACCTTTTGAACAACGAGGGAACAAGAGCTCCACTTGACATAATCTCGTACCTTTCAAGTGAATCCAGCATTCCATATCTAGATCCAACTGTATTAACAAGCCAAAAATGATCAAGAAAATCGATAAACAACATCTATGATCCAACTTTTGAGTGTATATTACCTAAGAAATTTAAGCATGCATTGGAAAATTACTGAGTTACATACTTGTCCAGACTAAACAACTCATAGCAATCAATGAAAGTGCAGGTCTTCAGACACTTCTATATGTAAGTTAAATAGTAAAAGCATCTTAATCAATAACTGAGTCAACTATTAAACAAAAATGAAAGAATATTGATTTGGCTGTGGCAGTTATCGGGCTTTCACAGAAGCAAATGCAACAAATCCACTGTTTTCAACGAGACATGGGAAGCCATGGTTAATATTTCTGAAAGAAGATAAAGAACCATGTCCTTCCACATGACATACCAAGACACATGATGCACCTTGAAGAAAATTGAGAAAGCCCAGACCCTTTCTAAAGAAGAAGCCCATCATCAAATCTCGCTGTATTGACTTAACTTCGGCTAGTTTAGCTCCGCATTCAGCAATATTTTCTTTGTCAGATTTTTCTCTCTTAGAAAGCCATGTGATATGTTGGATTTAAAGAAGGAACTACACCGAGTACAAACACAGTAGAAGAAGAGAACACTCATTCATTTTTTTTTCTTTCTAAATTACTAAATTATGTAACATCAATAAAAGCAGTTCTTATCCATGTGTCAACCCAATCAAAAAAGGCAATTCAATGTCACAAGAAAAAAAGGACCACAAAATTGATGAGAAAAGGAGATGCAAAATGAATAAATATAGGCACAGGGACTCACCGGACAACCTGCTCATATGGCATGTGAATTAATGGGGCCCATGGAATATTTTTGGACCCTGCCTCTTATAAAATCTCTGTAATCAGTGGTTTCTTCTTGAGTGTCTTTCACCAAGTCATCGATCTTTGTCCCAATCTCACGTAAGTAGGTGAGCTTCACAAGCAATTAAGAAACATCCTCTTATAACTAAAACAATCTAATTGGACTAACCACATCCATAATTGCTTGATGCCATGTTGGCCATCACATCCCAACACACCAATGTGGTCAGCAAAATCAAAGATGGATATTACCTACAAGATCTAATCAAGATCAACATCCAAGAATCAGGATCATGGGCCTTTGGTTTGATTCGAAAGTTGAACCAACTTTACACACTTCAACAATGACAGATATTATGTAGAATGGTAGAAAATCTTTTGATTCAAAAGATCTAGCATTCAATCTCAGCAATGAAAAATCCCTATTTGGAACTGATTCCATAGCTTTCAAGAATCGTTCCTCATTTAAGAGGAAATTGAAAACTTATCAAGTCAATAGAAACTCATTTGAAGATAAACAGAAAGAACAGAATCTGACATGAAATTGAAAACTTTCTTCGCAAGACTTGAGATTCGCCCAGCCTGCTCATGATAGAGGAAGAAAGAGAATGGATCGCTGCTGCTCTTCAAATCCAAAACATTTGACATTTGACCATCAGCAACTAAAATGCCCCGTTTGGAAATGATTGCAAATCTTTTCGAGAATCGTGTCTAGGGACACCATTCTTGAAGAGCCAAAAACTTCTCAAAACAGAAAAGCTTAACCAAAAGGAGATGTCGAGATAAGACGACTTGCTTCGCAAGAATAGAAGCTCACCCGATAGAGCATGGTGGAGGAAGAAGTAGACTGCATTGCCACTGCACTTCAAATCCACAACATTTGACATTTGATTGTCAGCAATGAAAAGCTCTATTTGAACATCAGCAAAGAAAAGCTTTCAAGAGCCTTTACACTTACAGGGTCACCATCATTTTAAGAGCTGCTCATGGTCGAGTCGGGAAAAGATTGGATCGCTGCCGCTCTTTCAATCCAAGAATTCGATCATCAGCAACGGAAAAACCCTAACGGATCAACGTTCCATAGCTTTCGAGAACCCACCATTTCGAAGGGCCAAAAGCTTAGCAACGCAGAAAAGCTCAATCGAAGGGAGATGATAAGAAAAGAACCGGACATGAAGAAGAAGAAGAATAATAAGACATGCTTCGCAGGATTAGAGGCTCGCGCTCATGGCGGAGGAAGAAAGATATCAGTAACGCCGCCGCTCCCCTCCCTCTCACAAAAACCTAATTTATAAGCCCGCCCGGAGTTTCGAACTCCCCTTCTGCTGACCCGCTCACATAACCAGATATTGTGCCGTGGCTTACGGAAAGACCCTTCATTACCGTCCATCGAACTTTATCTGTTAGTCTCGATCGTCCGTATGATTTCCTTAAATCAACATTTTTATTCAGTTATTAATGGAAACGTCGGACGGCTGAGATTAATAGAAAATGGGAACGGACGGTTTCCGAGGAATTCTTCGTAAAGTGTTTTCGGGTTAATTGATGTCGAAGATGATGGGCATTATGGTAATATACAATTTCCCAACCCAATCTCCTCCGTGGTGTTATTATTCTGTTCTCCTCTCCCCGCCTCATCTCCACGCACGCTCCGATGGCGGTGGCTCTTCGTCTCTCCAAGCCACCATCTTCTTTCCCGACCCACCCTGTCGCTCCATCTCTACTGTGCTATTCGCAGTTGTTCTCCTCGCTGCAAAGGAGGACCGCTTCTCCGCTTCGCTGCCGCTGCTCCAAGAAGAAGGAGACCAGCTTCGCGGACCAACTCCTCGACTACATAGAAGGTGAGACACGCTGCATCCCCTCTGCCGTTCTTCGGTTATCTTAGCCTGCACTGCATAGATCTCCTGACAAATGGTCTTATAAATATCATTTTGATCTTCGATTTGTGTGAATTACTAGAAAGTGAATGACTTCTTGATGCTAATCCAGCCAATGGCTTTTCAAGTGTTCACCAACTTTATTGGCTAGTTCAGTCGTGCCATAGTTTAGACGGTGCGAAGTGTGTTTTGGCAGATCAAAGGTGAAATTAGATGCTCTGCAGAGTTATGGCAATCGCGTTTGTTTTATTGTTGAGATATTAATATGTCTTGTTATTTAAGATTGACTTATTTTGTCATTTGGGTACACAATAAACCCTGTTATCTGAATGGTCATAAATATATCGATGGTTTATAAGTTCCCGTGTCTAGATCTGTTTAGTAGATGGCATATCTATGCACTTATAATTTGGAAAGAAAAATGAACTCATATGTAGGTGGACCTAAGTTGAGGAAGTGGTATGGAGCACCTGATCTACTTCCAAAGGATGGTGGTCTTGAGAATGAGGATGAATCTTCAGGTCACATGAACTAGTACATCTTGTGGCATTTTGTTACTGTTAAATTTGTGATGAACTTCATTCCTCTGTTTCCTTGATTGCTACCAGAAATCGATGAAGTACGAGATGCTGTGCTGGTAACTGATGGTGAAAGTGAAATTGGTCAGGTCGGCCTTTCTAACATGAAAAGAATTTTAGCTCTTTATCCAAACATGACTATGTATCATACTCAAACGTAATGATGCTTAATGTTTCGAAAGTAACCGTTGACCAGAGTCACTTAGTTTGAGTGTCCTGAATTTTCATACCTCGATTAGATGATTGGTGTGTGCAATTTCCAAAAAAGAAATTCTTTTCCATGATAGCCATCAATTTTTTTCGTTTTTTTTTTATAAAGAGATACTCCTACTGGATCAAAGATGAATAAATACTGCACTGACTCTTCAAAATGAAATTGCAACAGGAGGAATTAAATAGCTCTTGGTAGCATTGAAATTCTTTATCAAGATACTATGAGAAAGATGTCTGTGGCCAGTGCTGATCTGACTACATCTATGTTTCTTCATGACCAACTTCTTTGTTCTTAATCTAAGATTTTGCATCCACAAGACTCAGAACTGGCAGAAGGAATATGGTCTTTCTTTGTTTTGCATGAATTACTTCATTGAAATCCAGACCAATATTATGGTCCATGTAATATTTTTATAGCACACTCATGAACAATCTTAGTAGCAGAAGGCATCTAACCTGAACTATCAAAAAATTTTATTTCATATCCAGTCCCTTGCACAAATCATAATTTAAATCTTTGTTTAAAATCAAGGCCCAATATTGATGCTGCAACAAGCACGTAAGAATAATTAATTTCACATCTGGAGTTGTCCTAATTGCATATAAGCATGCTGCAATGTATTATTTCTTCATGTTACTTGTTATCTCATGATATGCTTTAATCAGATGGTAATTCTATCATTGATTCTTAAACGTGCTCGGATAAAAGCACTAGTCAAGGATAAGCGAGCTGCTATCGATGCTTTTGGAACTTATGTTGAGGTGAGCACCTGCATGCTCATGGTAGCGTTTTTTCCTTCAGAAGTTATGTACTGAACACTTCCCTTGCTGTTGACATACAAAAGACACTTTTGTGTTTTTAACATTGTACTGTTTTATTGATTGCATTGTGTAGACAATGGTTGGAGATTTAAATGACAAGACCTTTCTGACAAATGCTCTGAGAGGTGTTCGAGCAATAATTTGTGCATCAAATGTATGCAAATCCAGCTTTATATGTTGATTTCAAATCATTTGTGCTGTGACTAGAATGTTATGTTAGCAAGGTTTCCTGAAAGCACAATGCATCTACGGACAACTTCTAGATATTCTTCATGTGAATTATTATGTCACTTCCAATGTCTGAGATTATTTGTAAAGTCTGTGTAAAGACATTGCAATGTAGAGATTTTTCATGTCACGTATTTTGACTCTACTTTGCATCAGATGTTATGCTTTTATTTGACTGTTGAAGGTGGAATTCAGCAGAAAGCAAAATCCTCATATAAGTTGTTAAATAGTCATTTAACCTCAGGAGGAATAATATGGCTCCAACATTAACAATTCTGTACAGAACAGGATAATTTATGTATCTTTCATAGCAAATATTCATCAAAAGTTGGTTTAAGTTGAAGAATAGTAGTTGACTTATATATTCCTTGAGAGCAATGCTGATCCCTGTATGTTTAACCAATTTATCTTGGGCATTATCAAATCTGCATGTGATGGGGTTACTATATCCTGTTTTTTCAAGAATCTGAGGGGGACACACCCACTAGGTATATATAATTCATTTTAAATTACTGAAGAGCCAGTGCCACAAAATTTGGATACAAAATCTCTCCCTATTATGGCCACTGACCACTAAGACCGAAGCCTGGTATGTTAGAAGTTATGGTCCTATTAGTTCATCTGAAGAACATTACCTGAATGATGCAAGAAGCATGGTGAAACTTAAAAAGGGTGCAGTACCAATCAGATCCTAGATGGTGTAACTAGTTCTATAATTTATATGATTTTATACATATTTGACATCACTTGGTTGATATTGTATGTTGATGTTTGATAACCTAAACTAAAATTTTTGCCATACTCTTCTTATTTTGCAGGATGGCTTCTTCTCTGACATAGGGCGAACAAAGGGTGCGCAGCACATTGTTCTTCTATCTCAGGTTCTTAGTTTACCCACATTCATATTTCTCTTAATGAAGTACATGCTCATGCATTCTGTCTTGTCACCATCTTCACTGTGAGTTTTGACCAGACTGCAGTTGGCATTTTATAGAGGCAGCAGCGGAATTCAAGCAGTTATGAATAGCAAGGCCAGAAAACTGGCAGAGAGAGATGAAGAAACCGTGATTGCGTCTGGCATCCCATACACAATAATTAGAGCTGGCTTACTGCAAGATAGTCCTGGTGGCAAGCAAGGATTCAGCTTTTCAAAGGTACATCAGGACAATTTGAGTTAATTATCGTAGACAATGGTTCATGCTTGAGGCATAATGATAACAGAGTCATCTCTCTCGTCTCTCCTCAAACTTTCACTGCAACACTGCTCCTCTCATACAAATGTCAAGCTGGAACAGGTTGTTTTTTAGGTCTCTCCATCCAGTGACCGAAGAAATAAATGTAATCATCAGATGGACCATGAAGAAAAGAAATGACAGAATATAGCCGTAATTGTTCAATATGCAGCATGCTAATAAACTTGCACTTCCATCATAAAAAAAAAAAAAAGTACCTGGACTCTATGGTGTATAATTTTGCATTGATTTCAGTGATCATGTTGAGACTTGCATCCGGAACATGTGATCCATGAGGCTGACTTCCCACATAATTTTTGAGAAAATAACTCATCCTCGCGCACAAGCATATGGTTTTGTATTTTTGTGTTAGGGTGCTGCAGCAAAGGGAAGACTCAGCAAAGAGGATGCAGCAGCCGTTTGTGTGGAGGCACTTGATTCACTGCCAGAGGAAGGACTAATTTTAGAGGTAGGTTAGAATTGCCAGCAGAAGCTTCACCTTTCCAAATGCAAATTTTTGGGTTGTATCAGTTTACCTACTGCTCTTTCAGTCTCTCTCCTTTTAGCTCCAAATCCAAGAGCCTTACATGCCCTTGTAAGCTTTTGAAGCCACTGATGGTGCTTACAGAGCCAGTCTACAAGATTTTTTCTTCTTCTTTTTATCTCCTGCTCTCTCTTGATTACTTGTAAGAAGTGATAGAATTACTCATTATTCTTTGTGGACATGAAAGATGTTGAAAACAACAATCATAACCACACCATATGAATTTTCTACCTTAGCAGTAATTAAATTTACTAGTCTTTTTCTGTGTAGGTGGTAAACGGCGAGGAAAAGGTTCGAGATTGGAAGGAAAAGTTCACTGAGCTTATTGGGACTGCTGAAGAGTGAGGAGTCACAGTGAGCAGAAGAAAGAATCCACCTGTCCTGTTGAACTAATGGTGAATGATTCTTGTAATATCTAAATTAAGATTCTGAAAATTCAATTACACGATTTGTTTGTTAACTAATATTGTAATCGATGTCATGCATTCTGTATGTGCTGCGGCAAATACTGTTTGGATGGATATATAAGAACGATTCTTAGCTTAATTGACATGACTCAATCCACTTTGTTAAATCCTGTGATTGACATAAATTATGTGATCACAAGCTAGTGATTCTTTAGTATTTATTATTTTCTAGGAGAAGCGGCATTGTTCTCATGCCGGTAAACCCATGTCGCCACCACTCTTCATCAGAAGAGGACCCTTGGCCTCCCACTTAACCATGGAAATAGACAGCGGAAGTGGAATCTCCCATTCGAGTCAACATTAGATTCAGCGGGCGATCCCAGTCGTCGATGGACCGACTCGGAGCGGAGACCAGCGAAGCCGAGAGGAGCATCGCCTAAGTGGTTGTCGTCTCCCGCAGCAGATCATTTCCTGCCTAATTGTTCCTCCTTCCCCCCTTCCGCCCTTGCCGCATCTCCAAGGTATCCATCTCCATATCAATCTGGCAGCACAAAGGTCTGTCTTCTTATGCGTTTTGTAGCGTAAAGTTCTTTCCTTGATTAGGTTTGATTGTGATGTTCGAGGGGATTGTGAAGAATCCGGTGTCAAAATTCGATCTTTTTTTGCTTCTCTCCTTTGCTCTCAGTGGTTTGTGATCATGGTTGCCGTTTCAGGAACCGCTCCGAAAGCTTTATTGTACTATGGAAGGTTCCTTTTGCTGTCCAACTTGATCGGTCGTTCGTCTATGAGGTTTTCCTTTCCTTCTTGTTTTGTTTCTTGTATTGATTGATTCAATGTGAGATTTGCGACATGGATTTTGTAGAAAGTTTTTCTAGGGGAATTGGATCAGTTTTTTTTGTATGCCATCACATGAAAAGAACCACGCCATCCATCCGATCTCGCTTTTCTTTCTGAAAAGGAGCTACTGAGGCCATGATTTCCTTACAATCCTTGTCTCTCATGCCTACTAACGCCTGACAACTTTCCAAGAGATTCCTCTCCTTCTCTCTCTTCCTCGATCCTCGCCATGTCTTCAATGGTTTCGTCCTTCCTAGTTCTCCTTGGCTTGGTCACTGTAGAGGTGAGGTTGAATGAACCAAACAGTATCCTGACTTAGATCAGAATTCTTTCCGTATGAGCTCATAGCAGTCTCCTGTTCCTACCAAAAGGTGCTTTCTTTCAACCCAGAGATTCATTGCTTGCTTTGCATGTTCGTCCCTGCCCGCCTACTTGTTGTTTTGTTAGCCTTTTATTCCCTTGTTTTTGCTGCTCTTGATATGATTTATCTGCAGGTCCTTTGTCTTCTGATCTCGTTCGAGGGGTGACGAGGGAGGTGATGATGGAAGGCGATAGCTTCTCGGGGCTTGGCAATGGAACCCAAGTGGACAGCAAAGTCCTCCAGACCTTCCAGAAGAGCTTTCTTCAGGTCCAGCGTATCTTGGATCAGAACAGGCTGTTGATCAACGAGATCAATCAGAACCATGAGTCGAAGATCCCCGACAACCTCAGCCGCAACGTCGGCCTGATCAGAGAGCTCAACAACAACATCCGGCGCGTCGTCGACCTCTACGCTGACCTGTCACTCTCCTTCACCCGGTCCATGGAAGCCTCGTCGGAGGGCGACTCCGAGGGGAAGCCCGGCAACAAGAGGAACCGGCCCGGCTAGGAATGACATCAGATTTGCTTGCATTGTTTTCATCACTGTGTCACTCATCTCCTCCCTCATTTATGTGATGCAAAGCTGTTTGTCTGTGCTCCGGAATAGTCAGTCTAATCTTCTTTAATTGCTGTGTCTTCCTTTTCTTTCTGCTCTGATGTGCATTTCTCTTGCAAATAGTGTCAAAGCCTCCGTGTAGCCGAAGACATCTTTTGATCCTGTAGATGCCTTTTAGACATTTGTTTGGCTTCCAATCGTAGTCGACACAGCTATGGAATCTCACAAGAGAGTAGATGAGCTTTTCTGACCACTTGTTTGTTCTAGCCGGGTGGCAGTCACCTGTATATTCTTTGGCTGGAGGTACAAACATGTAAAGTTCACAGAAACAAGGGAGGCATACAACAGTATAGCCGAAGTAGGTGTACATATCAGTGATGCCAAGGAAGAGGACAAAGGGATTGGATGCTGAAAGCTGCAGCAGTGCTTATCTCTTCTACCCATGTCTGCTCTAAGATGATTTGCCAGCTGTTCCTAGGTGGACCAGAAGCTCTCTGATACTGCTTGTTCTACAGGAACCGGCCGGGAGGAAGAGCCACATGGGGTCATCTCCCTCCATTGGCTCCTTCCCTGCTCAGATGCCGAGTTTTTAAGAATGAGATGGGTCAGATCCAATCCATGGCTGCTAACCATGCATGCTTTGGAAGCTTTATCCAGTGGTTTACCTGCTGACAACTTGTATTTGGAATAAGAAACAAAAGATGTTGCATTGATGAAAAGTATGTATGGTCCCCTGTTAGCTCATCGAGTGCTGCTTTGACCAAACTTTAGGGATGACAGTGGGTAGGGAAGAACGTATCAGATAGACCATGGTGAAGGCCTTTCGATCCAGTTATGTCTTCCTTGTTAGGTATGTGTGACTCGCCAAAAAGAACATGCTCTCGGTCTCCTCTTAATGGTGTCATATCAAACCCATAGCGTCGACTCGTGTATCCCGCTACAAATAACAATGTTTTGTACCAAAGCTTCATCCTCCCAATCATCTTCTTTCAGCTTCCAAATGGCATTTTTACTCATCTGTCTTACACGGCATTTGGTGCCTTTAGGACCCCTGGCGGCTACTGCAGAAGAAACCAAAGTGTCAAGGACAAAGCCATGTCCAGATCCCCTTTGTGGAGGACGTGTTCCGTGCCATGCCAGTGCAGCGCAAGTCCTCTACCGATTACCAGCGCATCAAATTATTGCAAGAACACAAAGATCATCTCTGTCCCCTCAACCCAAAGTTTTGTGTGGTGGTTATTAGCTGTTATCCTATTTTTCCTCCTATGTTTGCTTTCAACTACTATAATAATATTTCATTTATCATCTTCAACATTGGAAAGTTTTTTTCTATGTAATTATTTTCATCTTTTTTTATATATATTTTTAATTGATTTTTTTCTGAAAAATAAATGAACAAAATGAAAAACTAAAAAATAGCTTCTATTGTGTTCTCTCTCATTCGAGTCGAATATCCTGCTGCACTCATTTCACTCTAATGGCTTGGTTTTTCTCATGGTGAGGTAGTCGAGTTGGATTAAATCCTTCCGTCAACGAAAATAAATAACTCGAATACTGTTTGACCGGTGGTCAAAATTTTGTAATGCTATCTCGACGCGGCCCACGAATCTAGTGGGCCGAACCTATGGCCTCCGAACCGGTCCGGGCGATTCCGCACGTCGTCACCCTCAACCTTGTTAACTACAACGGGCCGAGCCTATCGGGTTCGAGCCGGTCCGCTTGATTCGGCAGGTTTGGTTCAACTCGTCGCCCCCACATTAAACAATACTGTTCTGCAGTACCACCAGAACTGATCGGAATTAACCTTTATTGACAGTAACTTAATCCGGCAGAGCATCTAAGGATCAACGTGAGCTGTCAAACGAAAGTCCAACGGCGACGATTACCAGTGGATGGAGGAGCAAGAAAACTAGAGGGAGATGTCGTGTCTAAGAACCGTCGTCTATCTCCACTACTCTCCATCGTCCCTCAAATCCCTCTTCTCCTCTTCCATTCGCCCCGCCGCCACGCTATCGTTCTCTTACTCCACCTCCGCCACCGCTTCCATGGCCGCCGCCGCCACTATCGAGCACGTCGTCCTCTTCAAGGTCCGCGACTCCACTGACCCGTCCAAGGTCGACGCCATGGTCTCCAACCTGCGATCCCTCGCCTCCCTCGACGTCGTCGCGCACCTCGCCGCCGGCCCCGTGCTCCCGCGCCCCCACCGATCCGCCACCGGGTTCACGCACCTCCTCCACAGTCGCTACCGCTCCAAGGCCGACCTCGCTGCCTACTCTACCCACCCATCCCATGCGGCCGTCGTCGAGGAGAACGTCCTCCCCGTCTGCGAGGATATCATGGCCATGGACTGGGTCGCCGACCTTGACAGCCCGACGGCGGCGCCCCCTGGGTCGGCGATGCGGCTGACCCTCGCGAAGCCGAAAGAGGGGGCCACGGCGGAGCTAACGGCGACGCTGGCGCAGGTTAAGTTGTCGGCGCCGGCGGCGGTGACGCAGGTGAGCTACGGAGAGAATTTCTCACCGGCTAGGGCGAAGGGATACGGCGTGGGACTTCTGGCGGTGTTTCGCGACCTGGAGGAGCTTGAGGCAATGGATGCGGGAGAGAAGGACTTGGTGGAGTCGGTGAAGGAGAAGGTGCGGCCGCTTCTGGAGAGCTTCATTGTTGTTGATTTCGAGGTGCCACCACCGCCTGCTGCTACCCTTTGATGGTTCTTCTTCCAAAGAGGTTCACTCCAAACTCCCATGACTACTTCTTGTTTTCACAATTCATAGGTTTCTTTGTAAATTGGCGTGCTGGAGCGAGTGCTCTCTATATATTGCAACGATTTGTAAATGTTAGCTATTGGATTGAAGTCGAAGATTGGAGGATTTAAATCAGTTCCTGGCAGCTGATCTACATTTAATTTCACGAAGAAATAATGTCATTTGCTTCTTAGATTTTCCAGGAATAATTTGGTAAAGAACTTACTATCATGAACTACTGCTGTATGCAGAATCTGTTTCATTTTTCTTGTACTTAACATCAGCTACTTTCGTATGTTGAATCCTGCATTTTTGTATAAAAAATTGTGGTATCTTCTTTTTGTTTGTGTTCTGTCACTTTGATTAGATTTTGCTGATCTGGAGGTTCTCATTAAAAACTAGGTGGATAAGACTTCAAGATTTGATTATAATGATCTTCACAAAGAAGGAGAAGCTTTGTGAAGAGTGTTGCACTAATCTTCAATGTCACTACTCTGCTACAAAGATGAAGATCTGTGAGAGTAAGAGCTTTCGTACTGAGAAAGATGTTGTTTGATATACCTTTCAACCAGTAGTGTGCTCTTATAGCCCACCTGACTGAAAACATTTGAAAGAGAAAGAAAAAGAGAGAGAAACTATTTGCTCTTGCATAAGATGCATAGGTCGACAATGGATAGGTCACTTGATGTGTATCAAGGCATGAACTATTCTATCTGTTTCTACTCTTGTTGGAAGTCAAGTCCTATATGACTCTGGACTTGGTTCATGTTTCATAAAACATGTGGCAAAATTGGTCTAAGTTGGTAATAATACTTCACATTAGTAACGACGACTGCAGGTAATGATGTTAAGGGCACAAGCTGACACTTGCTGAGCTAACTAAGACGCTATTAACCTTTTGATATGTGGCCCAAGTTTTTCAATCAGTGCACGGACAGCCTACAAATTGTTCAATTTATCCCTTAGGTGTTGCTTCGGGTGGATAGAATAGACAGTGACTAATTGGCTTGTTCAAACAGGTGCAAATGCCTCGTTTTCTCTTCTCACGCTCTTCAGTAATGTCAACTTCTGCCTAGTTAGTGCTCTGCAGCTCTCAATAAGTTGGAAGTTTTTCTTTTTTACTTTTCAATATTTTCAAGTTTTATTTTTTACCCGCAACAATAACAAGAAGTTGTAATGTCCTAACCATTTGGGTAAACTTTTCAATGTCATCGGCCAAACTATGTATGAGCTAGCAAATCAGCCTTATTGCAAATTCCTGATTTGTTTGGTTAAGTGAAGATGGATTTGAGGTAGGTTAATAGTTCTAACTATTGAGTTATTTTATACTCTAACGTGCATTGGATGGAAACATTCTGGAAATTTCTAATTTTTGAAGACTCTTTGAGCATAATTATTTCTTTGGCGAACATCATAGTGCTCGTTCTCATTGCCTGGGTCACTACATGGGTCTTCTTTTGCCATTGATCTGGGGAAGGACTGCCTGCAACTATTGGGGATCTCTGCTTGGTTTTGCCAGTGATTTGTGCATTATGGGGCATGGGAGTGGTTCATGTTCCACTAGCTTTATGTGGTCATGAATTTAGATTCACCAAATGGCGATGAACTTTTGATGTTAGTTTATAGGCCATCAATAGCATCTTTCAAGGCCTACAAGATGGTGGGATTAGAGGGCAAGATAAAGTTGGTAATTGATTGTAGTTGGTCGGAACAGACTTTAGGGAAAAGTTTGAGAGGATGCATAGGAAAAGTGCTGAGAGGGTGGGGAGAGCAGTGCTCGAGTTGGAAGAGTTTTGGAATGGGAGAAATAAATGGGAACAATAGGTTGGAGAATAGGGGATTGTTTAAAAATGCCGATTAGCAATTACTTGGGCTGCTGATGTGTTCAATAGAAGAGCAATAAATTGCATAAGACTCTCTCTAATGCATTATCTATGAGGGTTATATATCCTTGCAGCTTATGAATCCATGCTAACAGCATAGCAATGCAGCAACTCTACCATTGTTCTAATGTGCTATCCTTTTACGTGCATGCATATCTTTTCATAAATTTGTCAGTGACTCTTAGTTTGAATAGTGATATTACTTTTAGCTGAGTTCAATGATAGGAAAAGATCCATGTAGCTTGTCAACCTCACACTCATATTAACTGGGACTTCATGGCTTATTGTTGTATTCTGAGTTTCTCGCTGCTGCTAGTCTTTAGAAGTTATTTGGACATTTACTAGCTGACACAACAAATGAATCGACCTTAATGCTAGTTTTTATTAATACATTGTAGGATCCATACGGCAAATGCTTCAACTAATGCTATTTCACTACTAGCATTTTTTAACCTATTAACTGTAAAGGCATGGCAGCTTAGCATGGGGTTGGTCTTAATTCCATGAGATTTCTTATCCTTGAAA